ATATATAGAGATATATAGATTTATATATATAGATATATATCTATATCTATCTTTATGGCGACTGTGTATAAATTGTGTAAAAAAAAAAAAAAAAGACAGTTGTGGCCCAGTTGTGTACATCAAGTTATCCATATATAATGGCCATTTTCACATAGTCACTCGATATCTTGATCCAGATGTGCCTATTTATATGGAAACATATCCAAATTTAGTTACCCAGGTGTGATTCTGCCAGCATGTTTTAAGATGTACACACAGAAAATGTTGGAGATAATAAAACACTTGTGAGATTAGGACTATTTCAGCCAAAGGAGCTGGTACACACTGTCTCCGCCACTGCTCTGCACTTTTTTATACTTACAGCTCTTCACTAAGAATCTTTGAAGTAATAAATGCTACCAGTGTCATCGAGCCTTGTTGTACAATATTCAAAGTCAAGACTTGTTTACAATTCAGCTGTGGCATTTACATGGCCTCAAGGAAAAAGTAAACATTCATGGGTTTTATTAAGAAATTCCTTTCTGTTTTGTTAGCACATTATTCAGTGTTTCAAAATGACTTCACTCAATGAAACGGGAGAACTAACGTTTACAAAGATTTTTTTTTGTGTTGTTCTCTGTGAATGTGAATCTCGGTTGTGTTTTCTTTTGTGTTCGGAGTTAAATGTGTTTGCATAATTCATGTTGCTTTAGAGTTTTTGTTTGTTGTTCTTTGACTCCCATGGCTGTGTTGCTCTCAGAGAGCAGAACGAGTCTGATGATACTGCAGAAAGTCAGTCCTGAGGTGCTGAACTCCTTCTGTCATGAGTCCAGCCCCATATTTGGGTTTCTTTCCTTTAACTGTTTTCATTAGTGATGACATTTCCCTCTCAGAAGACAAAGCAGGGTTTAATCTGCTCACCGATTTCTTGGTTCATCACATTTCAAATTAGGCTGAGTTACATAATGGTCAAAAATACCAGTATGCCTCTACAGAAAGCCATTTAACACGATGATAAAAAAATCTATAAAAGCGGAAAATGTCCCGATAAGTCTTTTTTTTCTTTTACAGAAGTTTTTGGGCATTTCTATAAATGTCAAATGATAAAATTCAGTGTATGGTTGAAAATATGGGAAAACAACCCCCGAAAATGAATACGGATATTGTTTGTTTTAAAATGCTACATACTGTGCTGTATTTTTCAGTGAATCTAAGGGAAATAATTTGTACTGAACACATTTATCATAAGATGAAGTATGAACTCAATAACTTAGAAATATCAGTAATATAAATACATGCAGGCCTGCACTGCTTTTTGAAATGCTTCATTCAGTATTTAATGATGACTCAAAAATATTGTATGTGACACACAAAACAAACGCTAAGCGAGAACAACCCTCGCATTTGCAGGGAGACAATGAAAAAAGCATAATGTGAAAATCCAAAAAATTGGGATTTGTAATAAATCTTTAAAAAAAATCTTTTAGACATTAGAAATGCTTTAATGCTTTATCCAAAGTTTCATTCAGATTGTCCCACTCATTAAGGAGGGAATAGGATACATGCAAACATAATACATACATATACTGTGCTCGTTAAACCTGAAACGCATGCAAATTTCCAAACTTTGTCTGTGCAGTTTTAAATAATAATTTAAAAAAGTAGCACTGAACGGTTTTATGCTGTTTTTCTGAGATAATAATAACAATTTCCCCCAGTGAAATCAGGAAACTTCAATCCTTAGTAATATAGGGAAAAAAGCTAAATAAATAATCAATAACACCTCTGACACCTCTGAATTTTATTGCTCAGTATAAACGATGTCTTTTGCATCAACAGAATTATTCCGTTTCTCTTGGTGGAAATGGCTTTGTTTCTTTTTTCCCACTTCCTTTCAAATTCTGTTTGAGGCTGAACTCTAATTATGTACATAGGCCCCGCATAAAGAACATTCAGTGCCAACGTGTGTTCAGTAGTTGAACTTGGCCTCTTTAGAAAACGTGCATGTTTGTGCCAAAGTGGCAGGAAGTTTGGTAGTTTGCCATCATTTCACCTGATTAGTGCATCTGCCGGTGCGTCATTATCGTTACTTAGGATGTATTTGGAGATAAACAGCCACATCCAGCATGTTGCATCTATCGTTTCTTTCATTCTGTTCCTATGAGACACATACTGTATGGGTTCTTCTTGCCACTACTCCTGTTTTATCCCAGGTTGTTTACATACCTCTCTTGGTCTTTGACTTGCATGCTGAATATTTCCAAACCAGGTGTTGGACATGATATTGTCGTCATACTGTGGTTTGTGAAATGCTTTGTAATGGATTGCCTTAAGATTAATAAAATATTGACAACTTTGGCAGAATACCAGCTGGATTTTTAATGAATGAATGAGAAATTCTTTATTATTTAATGTATATTTGTGATTTTTTTCTAGATGAAATAATAACAATGATAACATCTGGCAGATGACTCTCTTCCAGACAGATTAAAGATGGTGATGAGCATGCGGTGTGAAAGATGCCTTGTATCTCTCCTTGTGGCAGTGGATCCAAATAGGAGATTTCAAATGAGGGATTACTTGAGTAACTGCTCTGCTGCCTGTCTAAGCGGTGCAGAGAGGTGGTCAGGATTATACATGATTGATAACAGTTTGTTCAGTGACCTCCTCTCTACCACAACTTCAAAAATGTGCAGTTTGCAGCCAGTCACAGCCTTCCTGATCAGTTTATTCATTCTGTTGGTGTCTCCAGCGCAGATGCTGCTCCCCCATCTAAGTTCACTGTGCTTGCCACAAATGAGTGATAGAAAATCTCCATTATTTTGCTGCACACAGAAAAAGTAGCGCCTGTTCATCTCCTTTTTCTTTACAGCCTCTGTGTTAGTCTTCTGGTTCGGCCTGTTGTCAGTGTTCATGCCCAGATCAACCATTTCAAGGACAGACACAAGTCACACAGCCGTCTTCTTTCTTCTGAAATCAATTACAATCCCTCCGGTCTTATTTACATTCAGAAGCAGACGATTTCTCCTAGACCACACCCCACAAAATCATCCACTAGTGCTTTATACTTCTGACCCTGCTCATCACTAATTTAGCCAACCGCTACAGAGAGGTCGGAGTATTTCTGTAGGTATCGTAACACAGATGGAAGGAAGACAGCACAGTCATGCCTCACTCGAATAACTTGCACAGTGCAATAACTATTCCCAGTAAGTTGTGAACATAAATTGATATGCAGTCTAATGTTTTGAGTGAGGACTTTATAAACAGTTTGTTCATGACAGCTAAGTCCAGTATTCAATCTTTCAAAGTTATGTTTTCGTATACCTCAAAACCACTGGCAGGCATGCCTGGAGGCCTAATGTTTTCCTGGATGTCAGCATGTAACTGTAACAAAAGTTCTTCAAATTTGATACAAACATTCACTTGGCCTCAAAGATGAACTGATTAGATTTTGGCTGTGAAAGTAACATTTATTTGAAGTGTATGGAGAGAATTTGATCCCATCTGGTGCAC